TAACTGCACCGAGTTGTCACAGGTAAGTATGGTGGAGAGAGCCGCCACCTGTCTACGTATGGTATTAGGTGCCAAGCCCCTGTCAAGACCTTCAGTAAGTAGCCCAAACAGTCAAATGTCAAATCCGAGATAGTCAGATGGTGTCTTTCGCACCAGTGACAGAAATTCTTCCATGTGGATGATACAGTTTGTCGCAGGCCTTCGAGAGGCCTGAATCATGGAGATGATGCTTAGTGAACAGGATTCCTCAGACAGGATCCGGTGTTCAAGTGCCAGGTAGTCAATTGAAGCCACTGGGGATCTGGATAATGCAAAACCCCCTGGCTAAGAGAAATGTGACCCAGAGGAATCCTCCATGGAGGAGACCTGGAGAGGTTCACGAGGTCGGCAACCCACGGCCTCCGTGGCCAATACGGAGCCATGAAGAGCACCTCCGCCCTCTCCTGCAGGAGCTTGCGGATGACTGCCAGAATCAGAGGCAGAGGAGGAAACGCGTAAAGCAGGCCTTCCGGCCATAGACCTCGAAGAGCATCCGCTCTCTCCGCCGCTAGGGACGGGAATCGGGAGAAGAACCTCGGGAGTTGGGAGTTTGCCGGCGAGGCGAACAGGTTTATGACTAGGCCAAATCTGTCTGATATCTCCCTGAAAAGGTCCAGGTGCAGGCGCCATTCTGAGTGGTCCACTATCGACCTGCTCAAGAAATCCGCCTGTCGGTTCATCTCCCCCAAGATGTGGTCGTCCCTGATGGAGGCGAGGTTGGTCTCTGCCCAGGAGCCCAATGGCTGGGCTTCGGTCATGAGGGTCCTGGAATGGGTACTCCCCTGCCGGCTCACATGGGCCTTTGCCGCCACGTCCGTAAGGACCAGCACGTGTCGCTTCGCAATCCTGTTGTGGAAGTGGTGGAGAGCCAGATGTATGGCTCTGAGCTCCAACCAATTGATGTGCCTCAGGTCTGACCAGGACCACCGCCCTTGAGCCAACTGCAACTGAAGATGTGCTTCCCAACTGAACAAACTGGCGTCTGTCGTAAGCATGAGCCAAACGGGTTCCTTGAAGAAGGACCCTCTGGCTACCACTGGTGAGGACCACCACCTAAGAGACCGCAAGGAGTTGAGTCACGACGGGCTCAGAAAACATCGGGTCCAGATCCGAACTGGGCTGAGGGTCTGACAGGAATCCGATCAAGGCTTATTTTGGCAGTTGTGCTGGCCTTGCGAAGCAGTGGCAAGAAAAGAACCGGGTTGAAGAGACCTCCAAATGGCGGAGGGTCTGGGGGGGGTTTCTCCTTCTCTGACCATGGTATATCTGGTTGGTCATAGTCCAGAGGAGATGAGGCCCTGCTATAAAAGGATCGGGATGGTGATGGAGGCCCCTGGTACTCGGGTGCTCCTGACTGGAGAGAGTAGGATGGGGGAAAGGATACCACTGACTCGGTCCTGGGCATGTGGTATGACCTGGCTGCAAGAGCCCAATCAACCTGAGAAATCAAGGCTTGAAGGCGATCATCAGAAGGAGTTGTTTTGGGCTCAGCTACCCTGAGTCCAGCAGCCATGGGAGTGAAAGTGGCCTCTGGGCCTGAATGTGGGACCCGCGGTGCCAATGATGGTTGGTGGATGGTGTGACCTTGATCCACCCCAGGAGAAGGGGGTGTGGGAATCCCCACTGGTGACCAGACCCCTTGAGCAGAGGTCGAGGGCCCCAGCGGGAGATCAAAGAACGAGGCCTCTGTCTATTCCACCTCTGCCTGGGCCTGCCTCTGTGCTTTGGAAAATTCCTTCTCCAAAGCCTGGTGCCTTCTGCTGGCCTGCTTCTCTGCCAATTTAGAAGGCTTGGCCTTGAACTTGCCTGCTGCCTCCTGGTTGGAGGACCTGTGCCTTTTTCGGCCAGTGGATGGAGGGATGGTGTCCTTAGGTTGGGGAACAGTGGTATCCTCCATCCTGAGTGAGTTATCTCAGGAGTGCTGAGAGGGAACTCTGGCACTGGATCAATTGATGGATTAGACCAGTGTTTCCCAAACTTTTGACATATGTGTACCCCTTCTATAATTTTCATAACACTGAGTACCCCTCATAAAAACATATGCTTTAATAAAAATCAAAATATATTTATTTTTTCTTTCTTTGTACATACACAAAATAAACGAAAGTTATATTATAAAGAACATTTATTTGATTCAATGAGAAGGATGAAATTGTTTATGTTGAGATGACAGATCATCATAATTTGGTTCCCTGGTTGTTAATTTTAATCTGAGATGCGGTTCCACATCCAATAGTCTGTTCCTTTTTTTCGAATTAATGTCTACAAATGCAGAAAAAGCAACTTCGCATAAATATGAAGTTGGAAAAGGCAAGATGTATTTCAGGACTTTTTCTGTTAAAACCGGATACACATGTTGCATTTGTAACCAGAATGATGTTAAAGTACACTCCTTGTGTTTATTTCTCAAGAATCCGTCCAAAGCTAACTCCAACAATTGCTCTTCTTCCACATGCGACAAACCTTCTGGCATGGATGTTGTGTTAATGTTGAACGGATATCTTATTCATTCAATGTTGTTGTTGTTGTTAATTGCGAAGTCGTGTCCGACCCATTGCGACCCCATGGACAACATTCCTCCAGGTCTTCCTGTCCTCCACCATCTTCTGGAGTCCATTTAAGCTCACACCTACTGCTTCAGTGACTCCATCCAGCCATCTCATTCTCTGTCGTCCTCTTCTTCTATTGCCCTCAATCTTTCCCAGCATTAGGCCCTTCTCCAGTGAGTCCTTCCTTCTCATTCAGTGGCCAAAGTATTTGAGTTTCAGCTTCAGGATCTGGCCTTCTAAAGAGCAGTCGGGGTTGATCTCTTCTAGGACTGACTGGTTTGAACGCCTTGCAGTCCAAGGGACACGCAGGAGTCTTCTCCAGCACCATAGTTCAAAGGCCTCAATTCTTTGGCGCTCAGCCTTTCTTATGGTCCAACTTTCACAGCCATACATTGCAACTGGGAAAACCATGGCCTGGACTATACGCACTTTTGTTGGCAGGGTGATGTCTCTGCTTTTTAGTATGCTGTCTAGATTTGCCATAGCTTTCCTCCCCAGGAGCAAGCGTCTTTTAATTTCTTGGCTGCAGTCCCCATCTGAGGTGATCTTGGAGCCCAGAAAAATAAAATCTGTCACTACCTCCATTTCTTCCCCATCTATTTGCCAGGAATTGAGAGGGCCGGATGCCATGATTTTGGTTTTCTTAATGTTGAGTTTCAAGCCAACTTTTGCACTCTCCTTCTTCACCCGCATCAAGAGGCTCTTTAGTTCCTCTTCACTTTCTGCCATTAGAGTGGTATCATCTGCATATCTTAGGTTGTTGATATTTCTCCCGGCAATCTTAATTCCAACTTTTGATTCATCTAGCCCTGCATTTCTCATGATGTGCTGTGCATATAAGTTAAATAGGCAGGGCGACAGTATACAGCCTTGCCGGACTCCTTTTCCAATTTTGAACCAATCAGTGGTTCCGTGTCCAGTTCTCACTGTTGCTTCTTGACCCGCATATAGGTTTCTCAAGAGACAAATGATATGGTCTGGTACTCCCATCTCTTTAAGAACTTGCCACAATTTGTTGTGATCCACACAATCAAAGGCTTTTGCATAGTCAATGAAGCAGAAGTAGATGTTTTTCTGGAACTCCCTAGCTTTCTCCATGATCCAGCGTATGTTGGCAATTTGATCTCTAGTTCCTCTGCCTCTTCGAAATCCTGCCTGTACTTCTGGTAGTTCTCGATCCACATACTGCTGGAGTCTAGCTTGTAGGATTTTAAGCATAACTTTACTAGCATGTGAAATGAGTGCAATGGTGCGATAGTTTGAACATTCTTTGGCATTGCCTTTCTTTGGAATTGGAATGTAAACTGACCTTTTCCAATCCTGTGGCCACTGTTGAGTTTTCCAAATTTGCTGGCAAATTGAGTGTAGCACTTTTACTGCATCGTCTTTTAAGATTTTGAATAGCTCAGCTGGAATACTGTCACCTCCACTAGCTTTGTTGTTGCTCAGATTTTCTAAGGCCCGTTTCACTTCACATTCTAGGATGTCTGGTTCGAGGTCAGTGACCATCTCATTGTGATTATCTGGGACGTTAAGCTCATTCTTGTATAGCTCTTCTGTGTAGTTTTGCCATCTCTTTTTAATCTCTTCTGCCTCTGTTAGGTCCCTGCCATCTTGGTCCTTTATCATGCCCATCTTTGCATGAAACGTTCCCTTCATATCTCCAATTTTCTTGAAGAGATCTCTGGTCCTCCCTATTTTGTTGTTTTCCTCTATTTCTTTGCATTGTTCATTTAAGAAGGCATTCTTATCTCTTCTAGCTACTCTCTGGAATTCTGCATTCAATTGGGTGTATCTTTCTCTTTCTCTTTTGCCTTTCGCTTCCCTTCTTTCCTCAGCTATTTGCAAAGCTTCCTCAGACAGCCATTTTGCTTTCTTGTATTTCTTTGTCTTTGGGATGGTTTTAGTTGCTACCTCTTGTACAATGTTGCGAACTTCCATCCATAGTTCTTCAGGCACTCTGTCTATCAGATCTAATTCCTTAAATCTATTTGTCACCTCTACTGTATATTCACCAGGAATATGATTTAGTTCATAACTGAGTGGCCTAGTGCTTTTCCCTACTTTTTTCAATTTAAGCCTAAATTTTGCAACGAGAAGCTCATGATCTGAGCCCCAGTCAGCTCCTGGTCTTGTTTTTACTGACTGTATAGAGCTTCTCCATCTTTGGCTTCAGAGCACATAGTCAATCTGATTTCTATGTTGACCGTCTGGTGATGTCCAGGTGTAGAGCCGTCTCTTGGGTTGTTGGAAAAGAGTGTTTGTTATGACCATCGTATTCTCTTGACAAAATTCTATTAGCCTGTGCCCTGCTTCATTTTGTACTCCAGGGCCAAACTTGCCTGTTATTCCGGTTATCTTTTGGCTTCCTACCTTAGCATTCCAATCCCCCATGATGATAAGGACATCATTTTTTGGTGTTAATTCTATAAGGTGCTGTAGGGCTTCATAGAACCGGTCAATTTCATCCTCTTCAGCACCAGTGGTTGGGGCATAGATTTTCATTCAATATTTTCGTTTAAATCAGGGAAATAGTTTTTCAAGTCAACTTGCAAACTCTCCAAATGCTGTATTATGCATTTCAAAGTATCAGCCTCAATTTTAGTAGCCAAACTTGTTATAAACTCATGAAGAGAGGGAAACGAGTCTACTTCTCCATTACCAACTCTCTTTTGCCATAAATTTAGTTTTGCAATGGTAGCGTTCACTTTATCTTGAACGTGAAACAATGAAATTTCTTTGTCTTGTAACGATAAGTTGAGGCAATTTAAAACAGAGAATATATCTGCTAAGTATGCTAGTTTACAAAGCCATTTCCAGGCATGTAAACAATTTCTCAACTCAAATCTATCATTAAGAAAGCATTGAAGTTCATGTCTAAGTTCGAACAATCGGTTTAGAATTTTTCCCCGAGATAGCCAACGAACATCGGTAAGAAAAAGCAGCTGGGTATGACTACTTCCCATTTCTTCACATATTTGCGAAAAAAGTTGTGCATTCAAAGGACGGCTTTTAATGTAGTTAATGATTTTCATGCTTTCATCCAGAACTTTCTGTAGATCAGCGGGCATCTTACGTGTTGCCAAAGCCTCTCTATGTATGCAACAATGTGTGGATATGACATTTGGAGCAACATTTTGAATTCTTGCAACGAGTCCTTTAATTCAGACCATACTTCTTGCTCCATCTGTGCTTATTCCAACACATCTATTCCAATCAATTTTGTTCTCTTGCATAAATGTATTCATAACATTAAAGATATTTTCTCCTGTTGTGTGACCTAATAAAGGCTGGCAAAATAAAAAGTCGTCATTAATTTCTTGATTTTTTTCGTATCTAACAAATGCCATAAGATTTTCAAAATTTGCAATGTCGGTGTACTCATCGACTTGCAATGCATAATAATGACTTTGAGAAATATCAGATAATATCTGTTTTACATTATTAGACATATCAATGATTCGTCGATGAACTGTATTATTTGAGAGAGGAACGCGGTCAAAAGTTTGTTTCGCTCTATCTCCTATCATTACTTCTGCCATTATCTTGGCTGCAGGCTTGATTAAAATTTCGCCAATGGTTTCCGCTGCACTACATTTGGCAATTAAAAGTGACACGCGATACGAAGCTTCTAGTATTTTTTGATTGTCACCTCCCGTCAAACCCTGCATTACTTTTCGAGACTGATTTAAACCCTTAAGTTTATTTTCAAAAAAATCTATGGGTTTATCTTTGTACTGATTATGGTTTGTCTCAAAATGGCGCTTTAAGTTGGATGGTTTCATGCTTTCATTTGTTAGATTTTCAAAACAAATGACACAAAGTGGAATAGGCTCATTTTTATCTCCAGTCCATGAGAATCCAAATTTAAGATATTCTTTGTCGTACTTGCGAGTTTTCCTTGCTTTTTTCTTAACAGGTTCTTTCAGAATTGAAATTGATTCGTCGTTAATTTCATTATTTCCTGTTCGTTGATTGCTATTACAATCATTACTTTTTTTCGGTTTAGTAGTTCCAGATTTCAACCAGCGAACCATAATCTCTGTTAGGGATAAAAACTGTATTTTATAAAAATAATCAAAATCAGTGGAACTTACTAAAGCACAATAACAGGCACCCAGAACTAACTATTAAAGAAGTAAGTTGTCTCTATAACGAAGTGCAGTATATTCACGCCGTGTCATGCCTCACAAGACTGTCTAACCGTTGATAACACTGCAATTCTCCGGCTTTTAAACAGCTCCGAGGCTCAACGTTAACTGTTAATGTTCCCGCAGTTTAAAAATGGCCGAACCAGAGCTGCGCGAAGGATGCGCAGAAGTTCCCGTCATAATGAGTTGCGATACGATGTATGATGGCCCCAGTTCCCGTGTAAAAACTGCGATACGCGCCTATTTCTTTCTTTGTTCTGTGGGCGCAGCTAAGCACGGTGCAGTGGATATTCCCACGTGATCCCCACTAAACTCCGGTGCAACGCGTACCCCCACCAAACTCTTCCCGTACCCCTGGGGGTACGCGTACCACACTTTGGGAAACACTGGATTAGACTATGCAGTTGGAGCAGGGGAATGCTAAGGTAATATGTTGGTTTACCCTGCTCCCCTGGCCACCTGACCGGTAATTGTCTCTGGGGGTACGGTCGTGTCTATGGCGGCGGCAAAATCACATGAGTAATGACAGCCTGCCTGCTCGTAGAGGGTACGGTGACAAGGCCAGCAAGTTGATAAGTGGGCAGCATGTTTCCGCGGTGGGTGGACTCTGCGGAGGCAGCAAATCACTCGTGTGATGACCGCTAGCACATGCGCAGCCTGCTGAATGGTGGCTAAGAGGGAGTATGGGCCTTATGGATGATGCAGCGTTTACAACACGTAGAATCTTATTGAATGAGAGAGAGACTTCCCTGATAGTAATGCCCAAGGTGATGCAGAATACCTGGGAGAGAGAGGCTATACAGGCCTATAGATATCTATATGTATTGTTGTACAAGCCGTCCAAAATGGCAGCCGCGGCCGTTTCCAGCTTCCCTGTGATGAAATTGCAGGGAGAGCAAGACAGAAGATGACCTGGTGTTACAGAAGCAATCACCCTTCGATTGCCAGGAAAAGGATGGAGCTGAGGACATCCAAAGGAGATCCTCCTCCCCCGTTGGCCTCCCTGCAAACAGCGATGGCGGCAGCCACATGGCCTTAAAATGGCAGCTGCGCCAATTGAGAGTGACTGCCACTAGGGAAATCTGTAGGCTGAGTCAGACAAATCCGGGCCGCACGCCCACGAACAAGCCGATTCGGCCGCGGAGGATCGCCACGCGGCTGCCAAAATGGCAGTCGCAATGGTCCGGTCACAAGAGAAGGCACCCGAGGCCTAAGTAAGAAGGAGGCAAGGAATCTGAGCTGCATGCTGACGAACGAGTTGATCCGGCCGCCCAGCAACTGCCAAAATGGCGGCCGCAATGATCTGACAGCAAAAGGAGGCAGGGAAGTTGAGAGGGTGAGTGCCAGCTACAGCGCTGATCCCAGTGCTGCCTGTGTGAGAAGAAGCAGAACGGAGGCCTCCGTTCTGGCTGTGGATTGGGGAAAGGAGCCCAAGCCTTCGATAGTCAGGCTGAGACTGTGGAATGATGGAAAATTCACCAATGAAGCTCTGATCTACCTGCCTACTCTGGGAGTCAAATTTGCCACGTCTGTCTGGGCTGAAGATCAAGTCAAGACTGGGTGTGTCCTAGTTCAGGACGGGTGTGGCAAGTTTGACTGACTTGGGCAGGAAGACAGAGCAAACCCATTGGTGGATTCTCCATCTCCTGTGCTGGAGAACACGCTCTATAGCAGGTGTTAGAGCAAGCCATCTAACTTTTGGAAATTCTAAAAGTTTTTGTATTGAACATTCACCTCTTCACAAAATTGTTCTAAAGTAGCCACACGAATGGTAAAACGACTAAAACACAAATAAATTGTATTATTACTTCTATATCAGTTGGCATGGCACATGACGCTATGTTGATTGCATTTGACAAAATATGTGCATTACAACCTATTCCTAGTATTTTCTTTTGGAGTAAATTTTGTAATTTTACATACACATTATTCACCCCTTTGCGTCTTCGCCCACCAAAATTTGTGTTTGTATTATCAGCTGTTAGTGCAACAACTTTGGATTTCAAATTGTTTTCATTTATTACTCTGTGTAGATGGTTTGACAAAATTTCAGCAGTTTCACCCTCAATGGATTCTAAATTTAAAATTTTTACTTTAATGCCCTTGGTAACATTAAAATATCTTACTAGTATTGGATACAATTTCATTATGATTGGATCAGATAAAACCGTTACAAATGCTGCAGTTTCCATGTCTTCTGTAAATATTTTGTCACAGTAATTTTTAAATATTGATTTAATAATAACCTCGCATTTTGTCCTAGTGCATGAAAATTTAGCATCGTGAACCTTTTTCAATAATTTAGTTGTACAATCCATACTACGAAAACTTTGATTGTGAATTATGGTATGGTATGGAATGCAAATGTTCCCTCCATTGCAGCTGTTTTTCATCTTCAGAATACTTTGAAGTTTTAAAAAAACTTGTTACTTTACAACTGGAAGCAGATGCATCTGATGATTGCTTATGTTTCTTGGTGCTCAAGTGTTTCATAATAGCTGCTCTGCCCCCAATTGCAATACAAAATTCTCCACTGTAAATATTGCAGAAAACAATGTTATCTTTCTTTAATATGAGGAATGGAAATTCCTTATTCAATTTATTGTTGAAATGGCATTTCCTCTTTTTTAATTTTTCCATCCCTAAGTGAAATTTAAAATTAAAAATAAAATATAGAGCTACATAAACGATGCAAACACATTCATTATGAATAAATAAAATTAATTATTAAAACTGAAACAATAACATAAGCAAATAAACTTGTAAACAAAATTATACATATTTGGAAATTATTAGATTGATAATGAATTAATAAAACGTGAATTATTGTGCTCACCTTTGTATGATTGAATATTCACTGAGAAAGAAGTGAGTCTAATGCATGTGTGTGTGCTGGGTTGTGTTTTGGTAAGAAGTAAACAAAGCCACTTGCGTGCGGCGCACTCTCTCAAAACAATTCTCCTATGTAGAGTGCATGTGTCTCATAATCACGTCTCGCCGCACTGTACCGAGCCTTGACGAATTGTCATGTCAAATACAAATACGTCACATCACACGCAACGGATTGGCTCGGCATCGATCAATATGGAGATTTACAAATTAGTCTTCAAATATCAAAAAGGAGGACATGTAGGAGGACACTTTTTGAGAGAGGACAGAACTTACAAAAGAAGGGCTGTCCTCCCTAAAGGGGGACGATTGATCACCTTATCATCCAAGCTGTAAATCTTTCCCACCGAAGCCAAGCAGGGATTTGAATTGTATCCAATCAGCTGGTATCTCGGGGCGATCAGCTGTTGCTTTTGGCGCACAACTTCCTGGCTTCACTGACATCCGGCTCGTCGCAATCATCTTTGGAGAGCTACCATACCCTTCCCCATGGCAATCAGGAAAAGGAAACAGAACTGGTGAACAAATACAAACATGCAAGTAACACTGGGCTCCCCCCTTCCACAACAGAATGACAGGTCCCAGAAGGACAGAAAGGAAGGTAAGTAAAATAGGGAACTGTTTGGGACCTGACACATATTCTGAGAATCAATATCTAAATCAAAAGATTTGGTCAGTGTTAAAATGTCCTGACTGATGATTAGTAAATTTTCATTTTGCTCAAAACCTTTCCATTTTTTTTACAAATACAATGCAATGTTTTAAATGTTTTATCTAAATCCCTTGCATTTTGTAGTGACATCCTGCCAAGCTGCTGCAATGTTTTTGTTGCAGTAAAGGATATTGTAACCTTTCCAAAAGTCATGCAGTATTATTTCCTCTTTTTCCATTGTAGCCATGGCTTTGGCAAATGTGGTACGTAAGTAGTGTGCCTTAATAGTTGCAATTGCTCCTGGATCCATAGGTTGTAGAAGAGGGGTCATGTTTTGGGGAAAATATGGGGGATGTCCAGGGGCATTGTCCAGAAATAAGAGAGTTCTGAAAGAGAAGTTCTCTAAGTAGTAGGTCTTTATTTGCAGCAAAAAGATCATAAACCAATCCTCAAAGATTACTTGTGTCATCCATGCCTTCTGATTGGATCTGTAATACCCTGGGAGAGTGTTACTTATGTTTTTGAAGGCATGAGGGTTCTATGGATTAACAATGGCTTAACTTGAACCCAGAGACATTTCCTCCCAACAACAAAGTGATTCTGTACTTAAATGATTGATATCCAGACATTGTTTTGACCTCTTTGTGGATGTTAGTCTGCTCTGGCATTTTCTTCCAATACAACCCAGTTTCATCCACATTAAAGATCTGCTGTGATGAATAGTTGCCCTCTACTATAATTTTATCCAGTTTGTCTAGAAAGTATCGGACAGCTTGTTCATCAGCACTTGCAGCTTTACCTGTTGTTCATATGTTATAGTAATTAAATCATTTTTGAAATTACATAAACCAATCACAGCTGGCTCCAAATATCTCATTGCATTCCTCACATGCTCCTTGCTTTAGCATTTCAAAAATGCTGTGTGCCTTTGCCAGACAAAGACTAATCAGAATTCTTTGTTTGGATCTGATCATCAATCCAAAGCACAAGTAGTTTTTTTGTTTTTGAAATGAAGTCTGTCCTATTTCTGGTGCTTATGACATCTATTCCTGGAGTTGATTTAATCTTTTATCTTTTCTTTATCCTTAAGAATAGTGCATATGATGGAACGGGCCAATCCTTTTTCTCCTATAGTCTTTCCTTTCTTCCGCTCCTCATGGGCTTTAATTATTTTCAGTTTCAAATCCAAATTGATACCTTTGCTTTGTTTATTGCCTCCATGTTGAGTTGAAGTTGTTTTACTTGGGAAGACATGTTAGAGAATTTTAATTTCTCTATTGGTGAAAAATAAATCAGAAGCTCTCACAGTTGACTGCATTTAGCTGATTCAAATAACTTTATATTTATATAAAAATATTTACAATACCATTCTTCTTTACAGCAACATAGCTTAATGAAGATTTCTTACAGAGACAGATCAGAGACAAAAACTTGAGACTGGAAATCCAGCTCCTAACTCAATACTCTTTTTGCACAGACTCAGTAGCACTTTCTTCCCATTGGCTGACTGAATTACCACATGACTCTTCCTGTTCATGAATATTCCAACACTCCTCCCTTCATGATAGGAAGAGACATCAGACCTATTGACTTAACACATTTTCCATAGTGAATACCACCCAATGGTTTAGTCATCACGTCTGCCAAATTATCTTCAGAATAATCAATTTTCCTTTTACAGCTTCCCTGACATTACAATACTTAATGTCTACATGTTTACTTCTGTTCTTCACCCTGTCACCAGTTGCCATTTTTATACAGGCAGCACTGTCTTCAAATACCTTTACAGATTCTTTTACACTAATATTTAAATCTTGCAACAACTGTACATACCATGTAACTTCAGAACACAATTCAGATAAAGCAATAAACTCTGCTTCCGCTGTTGAAATAGCAACAGTTGTTTGTTTTCTGGACTTCCATCCAATCAGAGTCCCTCCAAACAATATTATAATCCCAGAATTTGATTTCCTTGTGTTTATGTCATTTGCATAGTCACTATCGACATAACACTTTAATTTCAATTCCTCAGTAATCTGTATTTGAAGACCCAAATTTATAGTTCCCTTTAAATATCTGAGAACCCTTTTTATACCCATCCAATGTAACTTTGTAGGTGCAGCAGTAAAACGGCTCAAAATGCTTACTGCGCAAGTTATGTCTGGTCTGGACCACTGTGATAGATATAACAAACTCCCTATTGCTGAGTGATATATCTCTTGATCACAGGTTTCACCTTTGTCCGCACTTAAACTATTATAAAAGTCGGCACTCATGGGTATGGGAGCAGTATTGCAATCTTTCATATTATATTTCTCCAATAACTGCTCAATTTTTCTCCTTTGACTGAGAATATAACCACCTTTTTCATTTTTCTGTATCTCTACACCGAGATATTTTTTTATTTCTCCCAAATTCATTAATTCAAATTTCTTTCCTAATTTATTAGCAAATTCTTTGACTTGTGATGCGTCCTTTGCGATGAAGCAAAGATCATCCACAAATGATAACAGTAGACAATTCCCTCCTTGTAACTGTCCAGTATATATACAGTTATCAGCTTTGCAACTTTTAAATCCAAGATCCTTTAAAGCAGTATCTAAACAGATATTCCAGTTTCTGGCTGACTGCTTCAGCCCATAAATAGCCTTTTTTAATTTATATACGATGTTAGGTTTTGCAATTTCATATCCTGGTGTTTGGATCATATAAATTTCTTCCTCTAACTCAGCATTGAGGAATGCAGTTGTGATATCAAAGTGCCAGATTTTATGTTTATATGCCGCTGCCAACGCCAGTGCTAATCTTATACTCTCACTTTTCACAATTGGCGCAAATACTTCATCGTAGTGCACATTCTTTAATTGTGAAAAACCTTGTGCCACTAACCTGGCCTTATACTGTATATCATTATTTGGCAATACCTTTTTCTTATATACCCACTTACAACCCACAGCTTTGGTTCCTTGTGGCAAAGTCACTGATTTAAATACTTCATGGTCTCCCATGGATTTCATCTCTTTATCCATGGCCTCCTTCCATTTTTCTTGTTCAGCTTTTGGTAATGCCAACACCTCTTTATAACTTCTTGGCTCATACCACACATTGCAAACCTTTACCTTACTGGCAGAATACCTGTCAGGCGGAATTCCTTTATTACATCACTCTGACCTACGTGGTATTAACTGCTCCTGTGTCTCAAGTCTTTCTGGCTTCATGTCTTGTTCAGCCTCTCCTTCCTGAACATGGACATCTTCAATAATGATTTTTTCATCATTAGATGAATTATTGTCACTAAACAGATCACCGTCATTAAGTGAGACATACCCAGAATTTGCATTAATTCTGTCCCAATTTTGTTCTGCAAAATTAGCAGACCTTGAAATTATAATTCTTTTAC